CAATTTCAGGATTTCCCTATTAAATTTAGCACATCAAAGCAAAATCTCATGAAAAGAGCGCTCTCTTTGTCTAAAATGAAATATGGTTTGAAGCGTTATGACAGTTGTGAACCAGAGGCAAGCTAGGTTAGGTAACAGGTTGCATCAGGCCAATTTCTGTTAGCGAAAAAGATGATTTCCAGCTACACAGCGCCTCTCTCATACTTGGTTTGTTATTTCCTTGTACAACCTCCCCACAACCTAAGGCAAAATTCATTTCTCTACTAGAAAATGTCAGTAAATGAGCTTTATTCACAGAACTGAACAGGGGTCAGCATGTGTGACATTTATCCCCCTCAATCCACAAGGCTGAATACAACTTTCCAGAGGCTACTACTCCAAATTGTGTGCCCTCTACAGCTCCCTGAACTGGGGATTTGGGCCAAATCAGAGATCAATAACCTGTCTCCAGACCCACCTCCAGTAATTCCTTTCTTCACTAGGCTATTTAAGCATATAAGCAACACAGTGGCCCTCTATAGAGGTGTAGCACACATCAGCAGGCGAATAAATTCACCCTTATGCCCTAGTGTAGATCTGGCCCAAGTTTGAATTAAAAATGCAACTCCAGCTATGTTACCATAATTGCGTAGCTGGAGTCGATGTACCTTAATTTGAACTTTGGCACCCTCCCCACAGCAGGAGGTTGATGGGAGAAATGCTCCCATTGTCTTCCCTTACTCCTCATGAGGAACAGAAGTACTGACTGATGAGGGTGTCCTCAGCATTCGCTTTAACTAGACCCGCTAGATGTGACCTTAGAGTGTGAACACAGCAACTGCTGCAGAAAGGCACATCAGAACCAGTAGCAGAGAAGTGAACAAAATGCCAAGAACTGATGGCAAACACCTGTTATACCAGTATATAGAAACAATGAATTTTCACAGAAACTTCTTTACGCTCTAGTGCCTTTCAAATGTGAGTTTTGGGTTGTAGAAATTGCCACAATGGATTAGAACACTGGTCCAGCTGTTCCTTTTCCCTATCTCTCACTGTGGCCCATACCAGGAGAAAGAAACCTTCCAATAGAGACTCATGGAATACCTTGCCCATGCTGAAAGTTCTAGGCAGGTGGTATTTGTTATAAAGAACTGAACACTCAACAGAACTGAATTTTTAGAAATATCCCATAGATAGCAGGTTGGATTTTCAAACTACCTAAAAGCATTGCCATTTTCATTACCAGCCTGAATAAGTGAAGGTCACTGAAACTGAATGGTTTTTAATACTGTTTCAGTGTCAACTATCTGCATTGTAATTTAAGATATTTTTATACATGGTATACGCAATGCACACAGATGCCCCTAGACTTTGTTAGTTACTTTTAAAACTATTTGTTAAAAATAAGAAGATTCTCTACTTTCAACATCCCATTGTCCTGCTCATTTTGTTGTTCAAGCTTAATTGTCTATGTTCAACTTGCTCACGGAAAACCTTTGTAGTTGTGTCTCGCTGAGGCCGAGCTGTTTCCTGCAGTGTCAGTAGACAATTCAGTGGTACTAAGATTACAGCTGAGAGAAGGAGAATAAATCCTTTAATTGTATAAAATCATCAGATTAAACCTTCCCCTCTGCGTGGTTCATTCTGTTAACCGAGTCATCTACAGCCCTGGAAACAAGTGTTTACTAAGTGTGGAAAAAAAAGGAGGGGTGGGGGGTGGGAGAAGGAGGCACACCTTTCCTTTCTGTGTACACACCACAGGAGCCATGGGAACTCCCCTGGCTTCCAACCGAACAAAACATCACCTAGTCT